AATTACATAATAACAAACGGATATACCCGATTCAATTGTGTATCCGATGAAAAATACGATCGGTTTTCACGATCAAATTGCATCGGGTGTATCCATAATTTAATCGGAAAACGTAATCGGAAAAATTAACAGTCGGAAACACTGTTTCATTGGTTTGTCCGAAGGAAATTCCTCGCAGTGCACCATATTATGGCCCGGTTTTTCGTTTTCCGGTATCAATATTAGGTCAATATTCTTATTACATTGTTAAACATTGGCCAATGCATTTCCAATATAAATCTAATATTATAACTAAAGGGTTACATCAACAGTAACTGGCACAATATATTTCTCAAATGTTACACGACGTTTCGACCAGTAGAGCACTGGTCCTTCTCAAGTGTCACCCATTAAATGTGACAGCAAGAAATCTACAAAAGAATTAAATTGTATAAGTTCAAATACAGAAGTGTGTACAATATAAGAACGCAACCGCGTCGCAGAAACTTACAGGTAGCATATCAGAGTATCCAGTTATAAAGAGGTACATAGTTAAGAAACCAAGTCACTTAACACAATAAATCTAATATTATATAATTATTATCGTGCAATATTTGCATTTATTCCATGGCTTTACGTTGGACAATATCGGCCAATGCATTTCTAACGTGACCAACATTGGACCAATGTTTAGCCAATGTTTAGCCAATGCACTGTGCTACTAGGATACCTTCGAGCTGAAAAGTGAAACAAGAGTTCCGCCATGTCATGTTAGGTAAATAAAGTAGCGTGTGTGCATCGGTGTGTCACTGACACACAGTACTTTGTGCACCTAACAAGACCCGGTGGAATTCTTGCCTCACTTTTCAGCTCGAAGATAGCAGTCTAGTAGTATACAGAAATCTGTGCATGCACCCGAGAAGAGCTTGGGAGACCGACGGGAGCGCGCGCCCTTTTTCACGACGAACTTTCCTTCCAAGGGGAGGAGGAAGACAAGCTTCTCGTCTCTCGTCCGGCTCCACATTCGGCGTGCGTCGAGGTAGAGTCGTTAGGCGACGCGAGAGACGGCGCGACACGCAGCTATATTAAACCCAATCGTCGCGCATGTGCGTATGCACGTACGCACGCACTCACGTACGCACGCACGCACGCACGCACGCGAGCGAGTCGCGTCGTCGGTCGTGCGGGTCGTAAAGCGCGCGGCGCACGTATCGCGACTTTATAGCGCCCCGGCATGTCACACCTTCCAGCTGCTTTCTCCCGGCTCTTCCATCACGCGAACGTTCCGTCGTACAGAAAAGTTATCCCGATTACGCAAAGTTATTTCGTGAAAATGGACTCGAGATCTCGAAAGAGAGCGAGAGAGACAAGGAGAAACAGAGAGACAGTGAGACAGATCGACAGAGAGACAGAGAGAGAGAGAGACAGAGAGAGTGAGAGACTGACTCGAGCGCAGTACTTTGTAATCTGCGGCCGCGATTCCGCGTCTAGACAGAGTCGAGGAGCGCGTCGAGGAGCGCACCGAGGGGCGAAGAGCAACGCGTGCTCGCGCATCGAGGACGAAAATCGCACGTCATCGCGCGAGGAACCTGTCGTTTCTCGTAATCTGCCAAGTTACGCAACGAAATAGCGGCAGTTACCTTGGCCAATGCAAATACGCGTCGCGTCGTGTATTCGCCTCGGCCGCTGCAATCGGTATAATGTGCCGTAAAGAACGCGCCTGGGATCCCTCGCGATCAGGTCAGTTGCCGTGTGGCCGATTCGGCGAGAAGGACAAAAGAAAAGAGTAGACGCGCCGTAGGATTCTTTCGGTTTTTTTTTCTTCTTTTTCGGCTCTACAGTATTTCATCCGTAAAGATCGCCGTCTCGAGCGGATCTCGCGAGATTGCGGGCGCGTTCGCGATATTAAAGATCGATGAGATTTTTCGCGACTGCATTATGTTTCAGTTCAAGTGATTTTTGACTCCTGCAAAAGTTAACACGTCGTTTTCTGTCAACAGTTTTTTTTCTTGCGGGGAGGGAATCGATATGTCCATTTTTGGACACCATCTATCTCCCGCTTACGTTTAATATAGCGAAACTCACAAAATCTCGTCCGTCTCTCGCTCGCTTTTTTTCCCCCTTTCGGGCGGGAGCACACGTGACGCAACGGCGCGATAAGATTTGGTCATCGATGACACGGGTGTTGTCATTTTGTTTTGAGATAAGTTGGAGAGTTGTCAATACAATTATCTGCCAAATACGTAAATAAACAGTCTCATCGATAAACGGGACGCGCGATACCGCGGGGCTAAGTGCGCGATGGAAATTTCGTTTCAAATTCGCAGATTGTAGCTCACGCCCGCGATAAGTCTTATCGTCAACTGAGAATCTTATCGTGACATTAGCATTCGTGCTAAATCGACAGCGAGACGGGGGGCTCGTGCGTTTAACTTTCCTTCTTTCCGCGGGCTCGACCCCAAACGCCGCGATTTAAACGCGCGTGGATTTTCCTCCGCGCGCGGTCTCTCGCTTTTCCGCGCGCCGCCAACTTTTATTTTAGGCGCGATGACGATCGGCGCGGACGTATCGCTCTCGGCCGCGCACGTGTATTGTGTGCACACGTAAGCTCGACGAAGCGCGTCTACGTTTACGTTCGAAAAGATATCGCCGGATCGTCGAACGGGCGATAACGCGAAACGAAAACAGCTGCGCTAGCGCCTCCGCGGGGCGCGTTGCGCATCGGCGCGCGTGAATGTGTGGGTGGCATTTCGACGACGTTATACGCGTCTCTTTCTTCCGCCCGGAATTCGTCGTCGGCCGGCCGTCGTTTTCCGCAACGCGGGGTCTCGAGGTCCCGGTAGAAAAAAGTCAATTTACATTTTCTGCCTGACCAGAAAGAGGCGACGAACGAGTGAATAACGAGAATGACTATGTGTTTATTTAAAAACTGAACGCGCGGGCGTTCGATTTTTCACTCAGTGACTCCAATATTTTCTCCAGTTAATTTGGACCCTCGGGTACGTGGACTGCGCGAAGGGGTTTCTCGTTTTGGAAGTAATATTCAATTTTGAAGATCCGCTCGCGCGCAACGACCGGACGGTCAAACCATAGGTATTAGGCTAATATTACATTTGTCGTACGACAAATTGTTCAAGCGTGTTGATTGGCTGCAGAATAGAAAATTTCTAGACACTCGAGAATTTTACTGTCCTGCAGCCAATCGACGCACTTAAAAAATTTGTCGTACGACAAATTGGTCGATCATGTCCATTGGCTGCGGAATAGATCATTTCTAAAGACTCAAGAACTTTTCTATTCTGCAGCTAATCGACATGCTTGAAAAATTTGTCGTACGACAAATGTAATATTAGGCTGAGGCTGGTATTACATGTGTCGTACGACACATTTTTAAGAACGTTGGTCGGTTGTAGGATAGAAAATTTCTAGATACTTGACAACTTTTTACTATCCTGGAATGAGTCTACCGGCTTGAATAATTTGTCGTACGACAAATGTAATATTAGGCTAAGGCTGGTATTACATCTGCCATACGACACATTTTTTAAGAACGTTGGTTGCAGGATAGAAATATTCTAGGTACTCGACAACTTTACCATCCTGGCACTTTACTATTCTGCAGCCAATCGACGCGCTTGAAAAATGTGTCGTACGACAAATGTAATATTAGGCTAAGGTTGGTATTACATCTGTCGTACGACACATTTTTGAAGAACGTTGGTTGCAGGATAGAAAATTTCTAGATACTCCACAACTTTACCATCCTGGCACGAGTCAACCGACTTGAAACACTTGTCGTACGACAAATGTAATATTAGCTTAATAGTAGTATCCACTCTCTGTCGGCCACTTTGATCTTTGCGGTCCCGCGATCACGTGGTATTCCGCTATGTGTTTGGTGCAAATCCAAGAGCTCGATCGTGAATCCTTTTCTGTAGCGTGAACTCGTGAAAAGTGAAAACTTTCATTGACGAATGTTGAATTCTTCAATGAAATTTTTCCCTTTTCTCGAGTTCACGCTAGAAAAAAAGATGCATGATCGAGCGCCAGCAGCGTATGTGTGTGTGTACTTAAAAACTATACTACCCCGCATACAACTTTTCTCCCATTGGCTGCATTTGCTGCAGATGTCGGATGCGCAGAAGGGCTCGACGCAAAACAAAACAAATAACGGAGTGAACCTACTAGTTGTACTATGGTTAAACGATTCCCGAGACGCGCATCCGCGTATACGTGCGGCGACGCGGCGGTCAGCTCGACTACTCGGTTCCTAACAAACCTCAAGCACCGCAAACACAGCGTTGGTCCCACGATCGCGCCCTGCGTGGCGAAAAAAAAAAAGAGCGGTCTTGCGTCGATCGCCGGCGTAATTTTGCCGAGACAATTCGGGAGCGAAAGTCGACCGCGAACGTACGAGGACTTTCCACCCGGGCCGTACGAGTTTAGCCGAAACCGAATAAACCTCCACCTCGGCGATCGCGCTGCGCATTTTCCCGGGACACCGGGGATCAACGACTCCTCGCGAATCGCCGGCGATTCGTCCGGATAATAGCGCTATCGCGAACAGCTCTCGCCGGCGCGCCGCGCGACGGAGTCGCAGGTTTTCCGCGATGTCCCGTGCAGCCTAATCCGACCTGCTGCGCCCCGTTCGTTATTACGCTATTACGACCCGGGGGCCCCTAATGGGGGCCCATGCTGCGCACGAGGGAATCACGCCGCCGCGTAATGCACACGCATCGCCGTCCCGTCCGTGTTACGCATACAGATGGGACGTGAGACGCGCGCGCGCGCGTTCAGCCGTCGCGTCGCGTCGGCCTAAACCGTCGCCCCGTCCATCACGCGCGTTCTCGCAGCTCCGAGATGCTCCGAGAGCGGCGAGCGGAGCGGCGACTCTTTCATCGCTATTTTGCGCGCACGCGGGAGAGACGGAGAGAGAGAGAGAGAGAGACAGACACAGAGGGGGAGAGAGGGAAATTATTATTATTAGTAACCGGCGGAGAGTCCGGGCGCGCGAAACTTACATTGATCGAATATCTTAAGCATCGCTTTCTTCAGCTGCATAGTCGCGTCAGCGAGCGCGGCGCGGAATCGCCCCGACGAGGAAACAATAACGATACACAGTGCACGACCTCTCGTTGCCTCGCGCGGTCAGTCCGGCCACTCCAGTCCATCGTCGATAAGGCGAAACCTTCAAAGAGCCAGTGGCCGTCGACCGACAACAGGACGCTGCATCTCGCCGCACGGCGCGGTCGCGGTCGCCCGGCGGCGAGTCGACATCCTCTCCTTCCTTCTCTCCTTTCGCTTCCTCTAGGTCAGCACGCTCGCGTGCGCGCGTGTACGTGAGCGCGCGCGATGCAACGTTCGACTGGTACGCGCACTACTGGCTACCACCACCAACAACACCGGCCACTACCACCGTTAGCGGGGAAGTCGTCGTTCCTCGTCACTTCCGGCGGGCTGGAATCCGCACGATGAATGAACTCGTTCGCACAATAATACGTCTCCCACGTACGACCTCCTCCCGGCGGAGGGAGGCGCAAATTCTAGGCCCGAATAACACCCACGTGGCCGAGGCGCGAGGCGCGAGGAGACGGCGGAGTCGAGCCCGAGCGGGGGGGTTACGACTCTCCCCCTCCCCCGGAGGTGGTTGCGATTCTCATTAGCCAATTCAAATTCCGCGAAAGCTTCCGCCGGCTACTCCGGAAGTCGACCGCGCGCGCGCCCCGCGCGGCGAGCCGATTGCGACGCGGAAAAACCGGGAGGCCCCAACTCCGCGCGGTCCCGTCACGAGCCGCTTCCTTTATCCCCTTTGCAATCACAGCGCGAGGTCGCGGAGGGGATCGCGGTAGGACCTGGCGGTGCGCACCGTCGCGAGTTTCGCGATCTCACGGTAGCCATGCGTCGACTCGCCGCGATATCCCGGAGTTCAACCGCGAGATTCGAGTCGGTTTTGTCAGCGGACACCCCGGGGGTCTCCGGCTCCAGGCGCGAGAGCACGTATCTCTTCCAGGGAGGCCTCTTCCAGACGTAGGCGAGATCTCCCTCTCGCCTTTCCCGGCCGCCGCTGTTCCCGGCTGCGAGAGACGTCGGAGGACTCGCGGCGTGTCCTCACCGCGCGCGAGTTTAGTTGCGACTGTTAAGAGTCGAGTTGAGTAGAATCGACTTGAGTTCAGTCGGAGTCGCGGCGCGTTGCAGCGCGACGTGACGCTCCAAACAAGAGGAGAAGGGGAAGGGAGGGGGAAGGGGGAAGAAAGAGAGGAAGAGAGAGAGAGAGAGAGAAGAAGGAGGAAGGGGAAGGAGAGGGAGACGAGGTTTCTAACGTCGCTACCGCACGTCTCTATTTTCGGAGCAAATCAAACTATCGGGGAATCGCAACCAAAATCAAGGGGGGGCAGGATGACGTGTACGCTTCTGGCTTATCTCGGGGTAACACGAGCCGTGTTGTAGCGGCGACGCGAGCGAAAATTACACCCGCGTTATTTGTATACGGGCGCGCAAACGAGCCCCGTGCAGCGGCGATAGGAAAAAGTTTTGTCGATCGCGAGTCAGTCCGCAGAGATAAATACCCCCCTTTTATCTCGCTTCGTTATACATAATACGTTTGCATCGTCACATTCGCGCGATAACTACGCGCGTGTACGAATGCGTGTACGAATGCGTGTACCCGTGCACGCGTCACCAGATAGAAGGAGGGAGGGACGCGGAGAACAAAACAAAAAAAGAAAGAGAGCTGAAGAAGCATCCGCACCAGCCAGACCTTGTTACGCTCAACCGAGTTGTCTCGGTCGTCCGTTTTATGCGGAGAGGCGGGGTGGATGCGGATAGACTTACTTAAGATATCGACGAATGTCCACAAACAATTCTCACCCCTTAAGAAAAAGAACTGATTAACATCAGTAACTGATAATGCTGAATCGGTAACTTGTGGCGTTCTATCAGTGACTGATTACGAGAATCAGCTACTGGTAATGTTTCTCAGTCAACGTCCAGTTTTAGTGACCGGTTTCTACATCGCTCTGAAAAACTGGTTAGACAATGATTGTTATCGTCGGTAACTAAGTGCTAATCAGTAACTAAGTATTGATCTGCATTTAGTTACTGATAATAACAGTCATTGTGTAACTAGTTTTTTAGAGTGATGTAGAAACTGATTACTAAAACTGGACGTCAACTGAGAAGCATTACCAGTAACTGACTCTTGTAATCAGTCACTGAGAACGCTACAAGTTACCGATTCAATATCATCAGTTACCGATCCTGCTAATCAGTTCTTGTTCTTAATTGGTAATTTTTGTTACAAAAATCACTATAGCCAGTGTAGGTCGTTAAAACTTAAGAAAATTTGGTTTCGAGTTTCTGGCGATATACAGGGTGATTCAGACCACCCGTACAGCCCCTTTATTTCGGAAATAGAACATTTTAGAGAAAAATGTTTCAGGCAAAAGTTATACGGTTTTAAAAGGGCTATATAATGAAAAAATAAATTTTCGAAAAAATAAATCTTTTATGGTTATATGGAGGTCGCTGTCATTTTTTTAAATGGAACTCCCTATTGTTTATTATACTATCTTATTCTACTAATTAATATGAACAACTTTTGTCTGAAACATTTTTTGATTTGCCTAATACTTTTTGAGACATTCAAGACAAAATTTGTAACTTTTTACATATTTAGCTTATAATATCTCGATAACTGTTTGTCGGAGGGAAAAGTAGTACAGGACTTTTTTTACTTGATTTAGTCTCAGGAATATGCTGTTGCAATGGTGTTTCAATTATTGAAAATTTTTGTGTATGTAAATTTTATGTGTTACAATACATAAACCATTGCAATAGCATATTCCTGAGATTAAATCAAGTAAAAAAGTCCTGTACTACTTTTCCCTCCGACAAACAGTTATCGAAATATTATAAGCTAAACATGTAAAAAGTTATAATTTTTCTCTTGAATATCTCAAAAAGTAGTAGGCAAATGAAAAAAGGTTTCAGACAAAAGTTGTTCATATTATTTAGTAGAATAAGATAGTATAATAAACAATAGGGAGTTCCATTTAAAAAAATGACAGCGACCTCCATATAACCATAAAAAATTTATTTTTTCGAAAATTTATTTTTTCATTATATAGCCCTTTTAAAACCGTATAACTTTTGCCTGAAACATTTTTCTCTAAAATGTTCTATTTCCGAAATAAA